ATATATATATATATATATATATATATATATATATATATATATATATATATATATATATATATATATATATATTTATTAGGTAGCTTGAAGCTGACCTAAATACCTGAAAATTTTGTATGTACTCACTGTCAAGAATGATATATTTTACAGCATTGTCTGTTGTTTGAATTGTAATGAGAACAGAACTCTATTTTTTCTTTTCTGTCCTATTCTACGTTGGGTTAACATGTTAATAAATTTTAAAAAGTTTAAATTTTAAAAAGAAAAACAAAGCGTTTGAAGCACATGAACATAGAATAACCAAACTGAGCCAATCAATTTGGTTACATATGTGATTTGCTTAAATCACAGCTGCATTAATCAAGCAACACATTGTATGTGCAAAAGTTAGTTCAGAATGATCTGTGATATGAATAAAAAAATGAATTAAGAGAAAAGGCAGCTATAACGCCAAGAGTTAAAAACTCCCATCAGTTATGATGTTACCTAGTCCATCATATCCTGATTAATTCATGTTTTACAACAAATTCTTGCCATACAATAAAACCTGATCATTAAAAATTTTATAAAGATCAAGCTATATTGTTGTAACTTTGATTTACTTTAGAGAAAAGTCTGATATATATCCCTAATACTACAACTAGAGTATTTGACCCAAATCAAAATAAAACTCAATAACTCTCACGGCCACATTTCCCCGCTGCCAAAAAAATTAAGTAAAAAAAAATTGTATTTTAAGAGTATGATTTGATAGATCAGAAGACAATACCTATGAGTTGCAACACTTGCCTTTTTTGTATGACAATATTCATTTTTGTGCAGTCACTACCTGAGCTGCATTACATCTTAAATGACAGCAAACTTCCATAATTCTGTTGGATTTTGGTGTGCCTCCCAAACATTATCATTGGACCACCATCTGACTGCCCCCCTTTTCAAACTTTCTGTAGACGCACCTGGTTTGTCTCAACATATTTCCTGGTGAATTAATATACACATATATATACATATATATATGTGTGTGTGATATGATCTTATTTTTGATTGTTATTATTCATAGTAAACTCCAAAGTAGTATTAATGATGAGCTAAATGCGCTGAAGATGAAGAGGATCATTGCTGTTTGCAGACAGAAGTGTCCTGCTGCTGTCAGAAAAACAAACTGAAACTGCAGACGCTCCAACTGTCGCACATTGAGGATCACCAGACGCTTCTCGGGCATTTTAACAAAAATCACGTCACCGTCTGTTTAATATGTTAAAAAAAAAGAAAAAAAAAAAGGAAAAAAGATAAAGATAAAGCTTACCACCAGATGGGATAGCTTGCCATAACATGCTTAAGCCCACAGAGCAGCAGAACGCATCCAAGGTATATCATCCTTAAAGTTTGGCAGAACTTCTCCAGCAGAAAGCCAACGCGCGCGCTCATCCGCGCGGACAGCTCGGAACTCAAGAGTGGAGAAATAAAATAAAACGATTTTACAAACTGATTGATTTTATTTAAATCCTCCAAGACCGGGAGAGAAAAAAACCAATCTATCCCTAGTACTCTGTGCAGAAGTGAAGAGCCAAATATTAAAAGTTAAAAGCCGTTGGCTTTTTAAGGACCCAATCAGCAGGTATCGCCAAAGGGGGAAATTCAGATGATATGCTCCTTCTGTTGCCCTGTCAGTCGGAATGAGCTAATTTTAAGATGTGTTTTAGTGCTCACTGAGATTGCATTAGCATGCAGTGTGTGTGTGATATATAATGTTGTTTAAAGGAGAGAGGGAGGGTCCTCGGGATTTTAAATAGACATCAGAACCCCTGTGGATTGCGTAGCTATAACAACCTGTCCGGATTTCACTCCCTGGCTTGAAACTTCTAAAATGCAGAAATAAATATGTGTGAATTGCTTGGGAGCCATTATTAGGGACCCCCAGCCCTCTAATTGTGCCTGTTTGTCATGAATATAAAATAAGAAGTTGAGACCCCCCCACCCCCCCCTACCCACCCACACAGACAAACTCCTACCTCTTATTTTATTCATGAAAAATGACATATTTTGTGTTTGATTATTATAACGCTTGAGAAACCTTTTCTTAAGACTCGTAACACATTATTTAATTATTTGCTAAGTGATATGATATTTTACCTGTGACGTTTAAAACGTTTCTAAATCAAAACTTGTGTGGAAAAAGTCTTTGTACGATAATTCTTGATTTAATGACTATTTCTGAGCACTAGTGTTAGTCTTCTTTTCAAACTTAAAAGTAGAAAATGTAAAGATTTAATAGACAAAAGAAATCCCTTTTATTGCTAAGGGATAGCTACACAATGTTTATAGTTATTCATAAAAAAAAACTTTTTTGTCTGAACTGCGTTTATTAAAGAGCCACACATTCATTTTAAAAGTGTATATCTTGATACTCTTATACTGGATAGTTACAGTTAAGATAAATCATTTATTTATTTTTGTAATATTATTTAGGATTTGTTTGATGGTTAATTTGATCTGTTGTTCAATAAAATTAGTTAACATTTATTTCGGGGTCCGGAAAATTTCAGAAAATCCTGACTGATATATAATAATTCTTGTATCCACACTCATGGTTCCAATGCCCATTTCATCTAAACGGACAATTACAAACATCAATTACAAATAGCAGGAAATACCTTTTCATTTCGTTGTTCAGTCTTATTGTATTTGTTTAATTGTATTGTGCTCTTCTGTGATTATAAATTTTGCATCAGCTAAGCAGCAAACCAAGTTTTACACACAAAAAAATCTTTGAAACACAGTTACAGGGTTTTTATCTATTCATTTTTTTTTATTGTGATTTATGATCCATTCATGTGTCCCTCTCTTATGAAATAAGCACACTTCCAAACTTTGCTCTCTAAATTATCTCGTTTTTTAACCCCCCTTTCCTATACTGGGACTTCTTTCAACTTTTCAGATGCTCTCTAATTTAAAATCAGTCGTTTTTTTCTGAAACAACAACAACAAACAAGAATAAATAAAACAACTATATTAATTTGCCTGGAAGATGAAACTCCAGTGAGGCCCACAGATGTCTAAACGTCAATCAGCTGCGGTGAGTCTGGATCGTAGCGCCATCTGGTGGAAAAGTTATTTTAAGGCTCTCAATTTTAAATTACTTGTGCCATACTGAAGTTTTTCCTCTTTTTATGGGCCAGTCCCTTCTGAAAGAAGATAATATGTATAATTTGTCATGTTTAATGTTAAGACACACACAGAAAAGTTTTCAGGTTACAGTATTGGTCTGTCACACAATATCCCAATGAAATACAGTCAAGTTTAGCCGTGTCACTGTCTTGGAAGTTGCATCAGCTGAGCATCTGCTGTCTGCTCCTATAAATCATACATTTATTCCTGTCTTTCTGTGGTTAAACCTGCAGATGTTGGTCAAGCTTTTATTGCAACTAAACCTACATGCTCTCTTTCATCTCCTAGACTTGAATACTTTGTTGTTGTTTCTTTGAGTATATTCTCTTATCAAACTCCCTGTCAGTTGTGGAAGATTCCTATTCACAAGGGATCTGATTCTGCTGGTTTCTTCATATTAAAAGTGAGTTTTTCTTTCCAGTGATGCTACTTGCATGCTCAGAATGAGGGATTTCTACAAAGACAATGACAAGGTTTTGAACAAGCGTTATATATTTTTTGAATAGAATTTTTTGATTTTAACATTTTTAACAACATGCAAAGAGAGTTGAAAGGATAAGAAAACTTTGCTAAAAATGAAAAAAACAAAATACAAAAAAAAAAAAACACCCTGCTGAATAATTTGGCCGTTTAAACTGTAGGGGTAGGTGAAACACACAAAGTGTACAAATGAACTGTTTTAGTTCTCTTTCATTTCAAACAACCAGGGGAAAATTTAAACTGGGTAAGAAATGCAGTGGCTTCAAAGTGTTACAGTATACTCCAATGGCTGATGGGAATTCAGGATTTTTTCTCATATTTTGGTATATTTAGTCACCCCATCAACAAGTTTTAAAAACACACTCCTTTTAAAAGTACCTGTCTCTTGCATCTTGCATCCTGCAGCCTTTTCAAATCACTCCAGCAGAGAAAACAGGAGGACATCAGGTCTTTTCTGTGTGGCCACATGACCTCACGGGGACACTGATGTAATTTAGTGGTAACTGACCGGTGTGCCTTGTTACTGCACTACATCACCGCCCTCAGTCAGTCGCCCTCAGTCAGTCGCCCTCTGTTTGACATAAAACAGCCACAATAACATCATTCGGTACAAAAACATTTAGTTAATCATATTATCATTACTTCACTGGATTCTCTATGATTATTTTCCCAATATGTGTATTCATTTGTATACCAGAAAACGTTTGTAAACTACAAGTAAAAATAAAAAGAATAAATAACCCAGGGAAAAAAAAAAAGAATTTCCTAATCTGGGCCCTGCATGTTTGTGTGTAAATGTGACTGCACCACTAGATGTCAGCATTGTAGTAGATTTATTGTCTGACTTATCTTCACTAATGAACATTTAAATAAACAACAACTAAAATGGAAACAAGTGCAGGTCTTAACTTGAAATCTGAACAGCTTTCTCTACTGCATTAAACTGGGCTAATTAATACAAATTACAGTCACAGAGAATAATCTAGTCTTTGAATTAAATCTCTGAAATATATTTCTGAAACTGTAGTGAGCAGCACTGGAGCCCCCCAGGGCACAGTGCTGGCCCCTGTCCTTGTCACCTTATACGTCTCAGACTTCTATTACAACTCTGAGATGTGTCACACACAGAAGAATGCAGATGACACAACCATCGTGGGCTGTATCACGAACAACAGAGAGGATTACAGCATTCTGGTGGGGGACTTGCTCCCTGGTGCTGCACCAACCACCTGGAGCTGGTCATAGACTTTTGGGAGGAACAGACCAAGAGTAAGCAGGTACTACTGGAGCGGGCTGAGATCGAGGCCATGGATTCATACAAATATCCTGGGGTGTGGCTAGACAATAAACTGGACTAGTCAACACACACCAACCACCTGCACCGGAAGACAGAGAAGGGATGTACATCCTGAGGAGACTGAGGTGGTTCAACATCTGTAATACGCTGTTGGAGATGTTTCACCAGTCTGTGGTTGCCAGTGTCTTCTTCTACACCGTGGTGTGCTGGGGGAGCAGCACATCTATGAAGGACACCTGTTTGAACAGACTGGACAAACTGGTGAGGCGAACCGGCTCTGTGATTGGCAAGAAGCTGGACCCTCTGGGGTTGGTGGTAGAGACAAGGACAATAACCAAACTGCTGGACATTATGAACAATGTCAGCCATCCTGTGCACCCTGTCTTCACCACTCAGAGGAGACTGATTTCAGTGGGAGATTGCCTCTCCCCAAATGCAGAACATATTGCTGAAGTCCTTTGTTTCTCAAGCCATCAAGCTGTACACTTGGGGGAATGAGGAGGTGAAAGGACAAGGGATAAGGGTCTGCACCCCCCTCCTGGGACATCTCATGCAAAACAGTACCTATTGCCACTCGTGCAATATTCTTCTCTCTTACTGTGCACTAACATATGCCAACTACTGTGTAGCCTGTGTAATTCTTTACTTATTTATAAGTTCAGTACATCTCTGCAGTACAGGTGCAATAATACAAGTGAACTACGGTGTAGTCTGTATAATTTTCACTTTTTTTATATGGTCAGTACGGTTCTACAGTGCAAGTGGAATAACCCAAGTCAGCTACTGTGTAGTCTTCCCTTAGCTCTCTACTGTGCAGATATTTTTATATCTAAGCGAAACATATTCCAGGACATTACAACTTCTTCCTTTTTTATCCTTTTTTGTACTATATACACTCTTTTTATATTGTCTGTTGTATTTTTATCTTTAATGGCATCTTGCTTTAAATCGTTGTACTCTATATAAGCTGCTGGAACCAGAATTTCCCTGAAGGAGTAATCCAAAGGGATAAATAAAGTTGAGTCTAAGTCTAAGTCTATGTGAAGAAATGATTGAGATGACATCTTGTTGCAAATGTTAATAATAAGCTCTGAATGTCCATCAAACCGGACTTTAATCAAGTCAGACCTGAAGTTATATTTGAAGGATTTTTGTAACATAGTTTTGTAGAATGACCTTTATGCATCAGGGTGATGTGTTGTGTTGCAGCTTCAGATCGCTGAGGAAAAAAAAACAACAAAAAACATCTTATTTGTTTAGAGATTGGCCTTTGTAGCCTGTGACGTATACAGTGAGATCACACGTGGAAACAACTCATCACACTCCTCTCTTAAGCATATAGGCATGGGAAACAAAGCCTCTACTTCCACTTTATCTGCAGGATGGGCATTACCACAGGCGTCGACATCCCTATCTGGTTTGCTGGCCTCTTGGTAATACACCCTGAGCTTTCAGATAAGCGGGAAAATTGTGGTTGACGTTTCAAATCTTGACTCCTTGAAACGGTTTGACATCACATCTGCTGAGTTTGAGCACTAGAACACGCGCAGAGTGCGTCATGTGTACAATCTCCTGTGATCTTTTAAGTAAATTGTAAGGCAACAGAATTCTTCAGTTTGAGAACTTCACAACAAGACTTGATGTTTTTGAAAGACTGAAAAAGCTGGTTATAACCTATGTTCTATCAGGGAAAAGTTGAAGTTATTTGTTGCTGATGGAACTCTTGTCTAATTAAGCATCTTAAGCTTGTGAAAATTTCTTAAATGAACAACTGTAGAACTTTT